GGAAGAAAGTCTCTGTCCTTAGGTGGCTGAACTTAGTGAGGCATCTTATAAAGTATAGCTGCTAGCCAACAGTAACATCACCACCTTTGAACTGTTAGAAATGCAAATTCCTGTGCCTGTACTCCAAACTTATGAAATCAAAAACTCTGGAGGTAGAGACCATAATACTGTTTACACAAGCCCTCCAGGGGATTCTAATGATTGATTTTGAGAACCACTAAATTAAGAGGACATGTGGGAGAACCACCTCCCTTCCCTCTGCCCACCCGCCAGCCAGATCAAAAAGGAAAAAAAAAAAAAAAAGTGCACTAGAGGGTTGGTGACCCTGTAGCTCAGTTGGGAAGTGCCTGAGGATTAGGAAAGGTTCATTCATTCTGTTCATGCAGCACTTACTGTTCTTGCACAGTGTGGCAGGCACTGTGCTGGAGAACCCAGAGATAAAGAGGTGACTTGTGACATGAGTGCCATAATATGAATGCTTGTGTGTCCCCCAAATGCATGTGGAAACCAACTCCCCAATGTGACAGTATTAAGTGGTGAGAGGTAACTGTTGTGAGGGTAGAGCCCTCATGAATGGGATTTATGTCCTATAGAAGAAGTCTAAGAGAGTCTGCTGGTCCCTTCCACCACATGAGGACGCAGTTACAAGAATGCATTTATGAGGAATGGGCCTTCACCAGATACTGAATTTGCCAGCACCTTGGACTTCCCACCTTCAGAAGTCTGAACAATACATTTCTGTTGCTTATAAGCCACCCAATCTATAGTATTTTATCATAGCAGCCTGTACTGGGTTTGTAAGAAAGTGAGGAGCTGAGTAAGCACATCTTTATTGTACCCTGATTGTAAAAGGAATGAGAAATGACAATAATCAAAAAATATGATTATTGTTTTAAATAGCAAAAAACACAAGTCCAAAATGTGAAGAATCCCTTAAATTGTTCCCTTCACTTTAAAGCCCCTTAATTTAAGTTCAGATATATTTCTGAATAATGATATGTGTGACATAATATCTTACATATTACACTAGCAACAGGCATCAGCCCCCTAAGTTCTTGGTATACATTTTGTTCATGACTTATTCATTCTTATAGGGAACAGACACATGAGTGGTGGGAACATGAAGTTAAGAGAATAATTCTATAAAATGGGTCTACTGCTTTCACTTTTAAAAGGCAGTTTACCTGCAGCCTTGCCTGGCTCAAGTGGACAGGACATGTCACATTCCTCAGCAAACTACTTGTTATCTACAGGAGAAATGTAAGCCAAAATAATGTTGATAAGGGGAACACAAGTTACCCAGAAGAGGGAGACCTTTATGACTCTTTCATAGACCAAATCTGATAAGGATAAGATAAGGATGATGCACCTTAGAATAATAAAATCTGTAAGAAGAGGTTCCAGTTAGAACCACTCAAGTTGGGCCAAAATGACCTAGAGTTATCATGGCAGCAGGGACTTGAATGTCTGATGTCATCCTGCTGTCAGTCGAAAGTCAAGAGGTGGAGCTGATCTGAATTCTCTGGAAACTTCCCTAGGACTCCTAATAAACTGTAGGACAGGGGATACACTGTCCCCTCCTTTCTGAGAGGACCCATTGTCACCTTTGAGTGTGTCCCCTTTCCCCTTTCCCATCCCTTCTAATAAACTCAGGCCTATAACTGAGCAAATTGTCTGAAATCTTTGACTTGATTATAAGAATCAGTCGGTGTTTGAAGGGGAGCCTTCATGCTGCCTCAGCTTCCTGGAAGGCCTCAGCATTGTAACAACTCCACAGTTATTTACTGAGTACTTACTAAGTACAAGCAGGATGATGGTAGTGAGCCAGGTGAAGGATTCAGAGGAAATGCAGGGAACTTGCCCTAGAGGAACTTACCAGCTAGTGAGGCAATGATTCCAGGGAGCTAAGGGTTGGTTCCCCTTAGTTTTGTTCTTGTCATCTATAGCTATCCAATAAAAATGTTAATAAAACCTGACCATCTTTGAATGAAGTGAAAATTCTCACAATGCTTAGCTTCAAGTGTAGAATGACTTCTGGTTACTATCTAAAACTGGCAGGTAATATGAATAAACTTCAGTCTACAAACTCAGATGTGTAAGAAACTTCTTTTTCCTATAACAGAACCTTCCTTCTCTTTGAAGCCTATTTTCTGCTGCAGAGATATCAATCTTCTCAATATGAGACCCTCCCCTTTACCTTGAGGCTGTGCCTAGGTTGGGAATGATCTTAAGGATCCAGAAGAGAAGTGAGAGTCATTAGGTCTTCAAATCACTGGTCCCATAGGAATCTGAGTTGTTCTGCCCACCATGATTTCCATCTTTTGGTTTCAGGCTTGAGGGTTAGGATGTCTGTGGCTTTCTTGCTATGTGGTATGGCTACAATCTCTGTGAGGCAGCCTTTTAACCTGGACATATTTGAGGATTCATCCCTGAACTTTTTAGAAATGCAAATTCTAGGGCCTCCCCACCAATCTCCTGAAACAGAAAACTCTGTCTAAAACATAGCCATCAGACTACAAAATTCTCCAAGATTCCAACTCTCAGAGATTCTGCCCAGGAAAGAGTGAGCAGGCATTACAAACAATCTTTCTTTCCTCTGGAGGTAGGAAACTCATAGTTCCTGCTCTCTTAATATTATTATCATTATTTGCCTCAATTAATGATTTCCTCTGTACCGAGATTTTTGCTTCAGAGTCATCTAGAATAATACTAGTGGATTTGTTCTACGCAAGGAAGTACTTTTAAACTGGGAAGTACTGGGAAAAAAAAAAAAAAAAGACAAGATTTGAACTACCACAAAACATTTTTGCAGATGAAGAAGTTGAGGTGTTAGGTTATGTGATTAGTCCAGAAAACCACAGGGAAAAAGAGTACAGCAAAAACTTATAACCACATTTCCAGACTGTTCGTTTCCCTCTTGTACCATCATCCTGTCCTTCTCTCCCTTCGTGAAAATGTCTAGGTAGAGGCAAAGGAGAGGCATTTGACATACTTCAGCTCCAATTGTTACAACACTGTGAGGTGGTATTACAATTTTATCTCAGAGATAAGGAAGCTACGACTAAGAGAGATGAAGTATTTGTCTTAATGAGAGTATGCAAATCTGGAAAGCTGCCCTTTCTCCCCTTCTCTAGACTGCTTCCTATGACCAAAAACTTTCAAAAAACCACTTACTGGTTCTTAATCATTTGTTCTATAAACGAGTGTCATACAATTTCTACTCCTTTGACCATTCTTCACAGAAGCAGCACAGCATTTTTCTATTGAAGAGATCAAGGCTGAGACAAACTCACTTAAGGTCTCTATGCAGCAGAACAAAATTTGAACTGAGATCTGCTTTCAAGTCCAGGTTGTCTCCAAGGCTTTTCACTTTTTCCAGTGAAGGAAATGGAAATGGGAATAAAAATACCACTCATGCCAATTTCATTATTGTTGTTACCAGGGCACTTAACCACTGAGTCACAACTCCAGACCTATTTATTTATTTATTTCTTAATTTTGAGACACTAAGTTGTTTAGGGCCTCGATAAATTGCTGAGGCTGGCTTTGAACTTGTGATTCTCCTCCCTCAGCCTTTTGAGCCCCTGGGATTACAGATGTCAGCCACCACATCCAGCTCACTATTGTTATAAAACGATCAAACCAGATTTTGGATATGGAATGTCTTGATGTCAATACCATGAAGCTAACACACTTAAGGACATTCTGCACAGTTTTAAGACTGAGTAATTTTTAAATTTAATCTCAGCTCCGAAAATTCAGTTTTTATACATGAAGTACGCAGACATAAATGACTCAGAAAACCTGTGAATCATCTTTCAGTTTTATTTTGTTGTTTTGCTTTACTGGCCCATTTATTTTTCAATACTCTTTACAGGTTTATCTTTTTGGCATCCTCAGAGTTGTTCACATTGTTGTGCAAGAAAAATTTCCAATAAAATGATACATCAAAGAGGATGCAAGTAAGCACTCAGAACATGTTTGCAAATGTGAAGTCATAAATGTGCATATATTGGGAGAGTTTTTAGTCAATTAATTAGACCATATTTGACATATATAATCCGTTTAAACTAAAAACTGTTACTTCATTATAGTTAAGTGTAGAGGAAATTTACTTTAATCTTAGTCTTGCTGCATGCTCATTCTGTGATCTTGAGCAAATTATCCTTTAAGAAAAAAAAATAAATATGGTTTAGTTGTGTGTGGACACAACTTCATTTTTTTTTTTTTTAATGTGGTGCTAGAGGATCGAACCCAATACCTCACACGTGCTAGGCAAGCGCTCTACCACTGAGCCACAACCCCAGCCCGCAAATTATCCTTTCTGTGCCTCAGTTTCCTCGACTGAAATTAAAAAAAAAAAAAAAGTCCACTTAGAAATACATGCCTCACTAGACTGTAGAGAGGATTTGGATAATCCATGTAAAATGCAACAGCAGGCACATAGTAAACAAACGTTTGGTTGCCACTACCGGCGCTTCTCTGCGGGTTACCATTCTCAGCGCTGGTTAATTCCGATTACCAAACACTTGAGGGCTTATTAAATCCGAGGCGCTGGGGTTACAGGGAATCAATGAAATAGTATCCAGCATTATTGGACTAACATTGTTTAGAGGACGATTTAAGAGACAAATGACAAGAAGTTGAATTAAAAAAAAAAAAAAAAGGAAAAAACAAAACTTCGGACTTGTCGTATTTGGGGCACGGTATATTTGCCTGATTCCTTGAGAATCCCTTTAGCCTCTGCCACCGGACGTCACGGGAGGCGCAACCAATCGTGTCCGGCTCGGTGAACTTCGCTTTCCCCCCAGCTTCCTGCAAGACTCGACGTGCCATTTGTTTCTCTGTCTGGCATCCCTTTCTTTGCCGGGTTTCCCGGGAGCTTCTCCTGGGAGGCGACAGGCCCCACACCCTACCTGTCAGCGTAGGTAGTGGCGGGCTCCCGACGCAGTCAGAGTGACAACGAGCGCAAGTCTCCGCCCCTATACGTCACTTCCGGGACGCTTCTCTCGCGGAGCCTTGTGGGTAGCCGGCCAGGGGTCTCCTGGCTACGACGATGGCGGGGGATGTGGGCGGTCGCAGCTGCACGGACTCGGAGCTGCTGCTGCACCCGGAGCTATTATCCCAGGAGTTCCTCCTCCTTACCTTGGAGCAGGTCGGCCGCGCGGGGCGGAGGACGGGCGGGTGGGTGGGCCTGCCCGGGAGAGGCTCGCGGCTGAGCTTGCCCCAAGCAGCCTCGGTGACGGCGGGCCTTCCCGCAGCGGTCGCTCCTCCGGTGGGGTTTGGGCCACTCTCAGCCCACACAGACCAGGCAGGTCTTCCCTCGCCCCCATCCGGAAAAAAAGACGACTCTAGAGTATCAGGAATTCCTAAGAAATAGAACTTATCTGTAAGGAGCCACAAAGGCTCGGAGGGAGGAGCCGCCGGTACCCCGCGGCCTGTGTGAAAGCGAAGAGAAACGGAGGGTGAAATCTCGGAACTGGAAAGCATCCGAGAAATCGTCCACATCTTTGCACACCGTCTCATCTCGTTTCAGAAGGCTGAAATAGTCCCCAAGAGATGAAGTGGTTTATTTAAGGTCACACTCTCTAAGCAGTACAGTTGGCAGGAGAATTCAAGACTCCCGGGTCTCCCTGCAGTACTCGACTCGTTTTGGGCTGGTGTGGCTTCTGATAGGCGGAAAGAAAAAAATTTAAAAAGTGACTCGATTTATTTAAAATGAGGATTACTGAAAGTTTCCTTAGAGATTTATGTGGTTTTTTTGTTGTTTTCCACATGGATTTTCCTTAGTCTCCTAATTTTGTCTAGTTGCCTCAAGTTCTCCTGGTAAATACATTTTGGGGTGAAATGACCTTTTACCTGTGGTTTTCAAACTTCTAAGTACATCAGAATCATCCAAAGGTTTAATACACACATTGCTGAGCTCCATTCGGTTTCACTTTCATTAGGTTTGAGATGTGGCCTGAAATTTTGCATTCTTTCTTCCTTCCGGTCCAAGGACTGCACTTTGAGAATCATTGTCCATAGGCAGTGTTTCCCAAAGCCTATAAAGCCTCTGGACATGTTGTCCAAGAGAATCACCAGACTTCCCCCCACTTCTAAGCGAATGCAGAGTTAAAATTGCAGTAGGTCACTATACAAGGGAAAGAAGTAAAATTGTGCTTTTAATTTTTTTAAAAAATTAAGTTCATTATACCATATTGACTTGTTTTGTCAGGTTTTACAAAACAGAAGTTTTCGAGCCTTTCTGAATTGAAGTTGAAGAACTAATTATCTTATTTTCATTCTCATTTTTCTTCTTAAATCGAAATTGTCTTCATAACTATTCCTTTGCTTATGCTGTATGTTTTCCTTGATGTCAAGGACAAATTGAAAAGTGAGGGAGAATGAGGTTATTTAGATAGGGATGGTTGAGCATTGACTGTAAGCTACTTGATATACTGCTACTGTCATCAGTGAGGGGAATGTAGTTTCCTTCTGCACTGCTATATTAAGTCTTCGTAGTTAACCTCAATTAAAGAAGTACTACAGTGACTGAGTAACATGTGCTAGGCCCTGAGTTCAATCTTCAGAACAACAACAAAAACACTACAACAGAGAAATGTGAAAATAACAGGGTGAGAGGCCTCCATCTCACCCATCTGAAAATCATAATAATAACATTCAGGTTAGTTTATTGACAGAAATGTGGAAATCATTAGCTTTCTTTTATCTGTTTCCCCCAGGAAGTCCCTCATTTTCAGTCCCTTTTATAGATTAAGATGATGTTCTGGAAATGATCTTGATGCCTGGAGTTTTGGCTGGAGTTGTGGGCTGCAGTCCATGTCACACTGTGGACATGTGACCATTGTTTCTCAGATAAGGCTGAACCTAATATTTCCAGGGCTTAACCTATCAATAATATCACCTCTAGAAGAAACTTATGGGACTTTGCAGTTAGTATGTCATTCTGAAAATGGTTTTGTAATTTGTTATTTAAGAAATAATGTTTTGCCATATTAGTAAGTTACTTATTAAAATGAAAGATGTTTTGAAATTACTTTTGTTTCCTTTTCCACAGAAGAACATAACTGTTGAAAATGACATAAGAGTAAACAAAGACAATCTTACTGATCTTTATGTTCAGCATGCCATACCGTTGCCTCAGAGGGAATTGCCAAAGAATAGATGGGGGAAAATGATGGAAAAGAAAAGAGAACAACATGAGATAAAAAATGAGACAAAAAGGTACTTTTTTAGTGGTTCTGGTTTTCGTTTTATCTTATATACCTAAACAATTTTGGTTTTACCTCAGGTAAACTTGAAGTTTTTTTAAAAAAATCTATTTGAATAAATAAATAAATATTGAATAACAACAATTCATTGAACACCAGGCACTGTGCTTTGTAGCAGTGAGTAAAACATAAAATTCCCTACCCACATATCAATTGGGAGAAACATAATAATAAAAGTTTAGTGTGTGGTATGTTACATAGTGACACATCCTAAGGAGAAAGGTAAAACAGGAAGAGGAATTGTAATTTTTGGCAAAGTGGCCAGGAACAACCTTACTGAGAAATGACATTTCAGTAGGAAGTACGGAGCAAGCTAGCATTCCAGCAGAAGATAAGACCCTGCATTGGAAATGTGTCCAGGAGCAGCAAAATGTCCATCAGCCTGGAGCAGAGAGAGTAGGAGGCAAGAGGTGTATTAGGGACGACGGGGAAGATTGTCAAATCATGGAAGACTTTGACTTTACTCAGAGATGAGAAACCACTATAGGATTTTGAGGCAATGACAGGGATAACCCTATCAGATGACATTTTAACCAGACCACTCTGGCTGCTATACTGTGAAGTGATTTAAGATGAAGCAGTTATAGGGGTAGAAGTTGCCAAATCAATTAGGAATCTGCGCTGTAATTTTAACAATGGCAGTAGCTTTAACTAAGGTAGTGATTGGGTAGGCTAGGCTCTGAATGTATTTAGGAGGTAGAACCAACAGGATTTCTAAAATTTTGAGCAAAAAAGACCAGTCAAGTAATATCCTAAGGTCTTTGAACAGTGTAGAAGCAAAGAGTGCCATCTCATTTCTGGTACATTGTTTAAGGTTTTTAAATTTCAGGGAAAAAAAATTATGAAATCCACAAGCCAATGACTTTCCCCCTTTTAAAGAAAATTACATTTGAGTGACCAACATCAGTGGCTACTTAATGTGAACAAAGTGTTCTAAGATCCCCAAATGATCTTCCCCTGTGATTTTGTTATCACCAGTGGGTATTATTGTTATATTATTGTCATGGGTGATGCAGTGGGAGATGACAGAGTAGGAGGGCTGGGGTAAGAAGGAATATGTAGCTCTGAGTTGATTAGTGGTTTTAATCTGATTGCCAAGAAAAACTCATGATTGAGATTATTCCCCAAGCATGAGAATACTCGAAGGACACATATGCTCATAGTCATTTTGAAAAATAACTGCATTTAAGGACTTGGGATGTAGCTCAGTGGTAGACCACTCGCCTATCAATGTGCAAGGCCTTGAGTTCAATCTCCTCTACCTAATTGTAAATAAATACATAAATAAATGTACATACAGTCTCAACTTTGATCAGGAACTAGTTCAGATTAAGCATCATGTTAGCTTGATGGTTACATTAAGTACAAGTTGCACTAGTGTTAGCTTCTGCCAGGCTATGGGTTACATGGCATATACCTTTTAATTTGCTTTTTTCTTTTTTTACTTGATATTCAGACAGTATTTTCTGCTTCATCAGCTCTTACAGGCACATTGTCCTAGTAAACATTGGTTACACTTCCCTTCAAAGCAACACATGATAATCCTGCAGTGTCATTTTGGAAATGATCTTTGGCTGTATCTTAAAAATTTATAGTCATTCTTGACTCAGCAAACATTGAAATTGGAAAGCTCTAAGAGAGATCTTGCAATGTCAAGCAGCATACACGTGGCCCTTGACAGAGATACAGAGAAGTACTATGGCATCCTAAGGTCACGCACAGCTAGAACTAGCTCCCTGGTGCCAAGCTTCTCCAACTTCAGTGTGCCTCTTGAATCTTAGGTTGAATGCCCCAATGCTGATGAATCCTGCTCTCCCTCTCTTTCTTTTCTATAATGGCATTGAGCAAACACTGAACTTATTTTTTCATCATCTACAAAATGAAACTAAATGGTGACCTAAGGATTGGTGAGTGGCCATTTACCTAGGAAGCTCATTAAAATACTGATTTTAAGACTTATTCAGTAGTTCAGTGTGAGTCCCTGGATTCTGTGTTTCTTCTAAGCTCCCAAGATGGCACTCATGTTGTTGATCCTTGGATAGCACTTTGGGGAAGTTAGAGTTTTGCTGGTAACTCACTGCTCAATTTCTTTTAACATATTTAAGGTTTTTTTTTTTTAATAAATCTGCTATATAACTCAAGTTAAATAAGTGCATTTACCTTTACTATTAAAATGTAAATTAGAGGGCTGGGGTTGTGGCTCAGCGGTAGAGCACTTGCCTAGCATGTGTGAGGCCCTGGGTTTGATTCTCAGCACCACATAAAATAAAATAAAGGTCCACTGACAACTAAAAAAATGTTTAATAAAATAAAATATAAATTAGATTTTGAAAAGCAGAACATGAAGACTCTTGCCAAAGCTTATGATTAAAATTGTACAAATATTACTATGGCCCTACAGGCTTAGTAACAGGAATAAGAATGTTCTTCATTGTTTGTGGGGTGCCATTGTGGTAGTCTTCATATAGTTTTTGAAATAATAGCATTGCAGTTATGTGGTCAATATAACTTTGTCAGTAATTTGTTTGGAAATCCTGTTTTAAGGGCTAGTGTTAGATGTTTAATTGTTGTTTTAAAAATAACTGCATGTTTTGTATATGTTAAATCTAACTGAATTTCTTGAAATACTTAATGCTTTAAAACAGAGCACTATAAAATTATTTTTTTTAGAGTGAACACATAATTTCATTTCCAGTAGTCCCACATACATTTGTCTTATCAGTAGTCTTGTTGGTTATTTATTTATTTATTTTTAACTTTGAATTCCAGTGAACTGGTTTACCATCCCACATAGTATTTTTCAAAAGCGCTTCTCTTTGATTTCAGGAGTAACACTGTAGATGGGTTAAGGAAAAGGCCTCTCATTGTATTTGATGGAAGCTCAACAAGTACAAGCATAAAAGTAAGAAAGACAGAGAATGGAGACAATGATCGACTCAAGCCTCCCCCTCAGGCAAGCTTTACCAGTAATGCCTTTCGAAAATTATCAAATTCCTCTTCAAGTGTTTCACCCCTAATTTTGTCTTCCAATTTGCCTACGAACGATAAATCGGAACACAATAATAATGACACTAAACAGAACCATGACTTAATGCATAGAAAAAGTCCTTCAGGCACTATGAAGTCACCACCTTTGTCCCCTGTTGGAACTACTCCTGTCAAGTTAAAGCGAGCTGCTCCTAAAGAAGAAACAGAGGCTGCAGTAAGTATGGGGTGGTTTCTGTGCCAGTAAGGGGTGTGACCAAAGCGTGAGCAGTTCCTTTATAGCCTGACTAGCCCACTGATGCTGCTTGATCCTCTTGAACCCTTTATCTCCTGTCGAATTTTCCTATCTCATCACTTATATGTTGGAACCCTGAAGTTTTAAAATCCATTGTTATTTTTTAAAGTTATTATTATATGCCTTATTTTTAAATCTAGTATTTTTAAAGATTCCTTCAATTTATTTGTTTAAAAGGTATATATGGAGAGCATTAGGCACTTTTTCTAGATTTTTCTCATCAGTTTTTCACTGTCTTGAAACTAAAAGGAGAGAGTACTCCTTTATTAGTAAAGCTCAGAATGCTAAGTAATTTATCCAGGGTAATATATTTGTTAAATAGCATTTGGACCCTGACCTCAGGTCTGTTTGTACTTACCTTGAAATCACACAAGAATTTCTTTATAATTCCTAATGGTTTTCCCTACCCCTCAAGTGTATCTGACTTTGGACAGTTAGGAAGTTTGGGAGAATCTGTCATGTGTGCTCTCATTGTCTTTCCTTAGACTCCTCAGAAAAGTGATTTTATCTTTAAACACCTAGCAGTTTTATAGCTATTATTCCTGTAGTATATTTTGGCTTTATTATCATCTTCTAATGTCAGAGGGATTGAAACTCAAGAGTAGTTTAGACATTCTGAAATATAGACCCTGGAAAAAGAAAGTTACTTAACCAGCATTTACTTATTCATTGAATCTTATCAGCAATCCCATGAAGTAAGCACTGTTGTTATCCCCTTTTCACAGTCAAGGATACAGAAGTTTAGAGAATTTAAATAAACTTGTCCAGGGTTCCAGAGTTAGAAAGTGGGCAAACTGCAATTTGACCCTAGGTCTGCTTGATCCCAAGGCCCACGCTTAGGACACCAAGCTGCTTCCTTCCTTATTTACCCACATTTGTGGGAGAGGAGGAGGGTGTGGGATGAGAATTGGAAGAGTAAATCCTGCAGTAAGGAGTGAGCCTTGAGGATTTTTTTCCCCAGGCTCTTATCCAAAGGAATTTTCCTCTTTCAGAGGTATAAGATAGCTATAAATGATAAATGTTTTCTTGTATTGTTCATGTTTCCCACTGCTTTTGAACTCTGAAGTTGCGGAGGACATTGGCTAGGCAAGGAGGAAGTGGATCTGGACTAGCTGTCAGTGGTTCTCGGCTCTGCATTATTGGGATCACCTAAGGAGCTACCAAAAAAACGAAAGAAGTGAGAGCGTCATCTCTACCTTTATGGATTCATTGGTTTTGAGATAAGGATCATGCTTAGGCATATTTTTAAGTGCTCTTGGTTATTCTGATGTGCAAACATTGGAAAACCATAGAGAGACCAGTCTTGGAGACCTATTTTTTCCTAATGTCTTGAGCTACATTCCCACCAGATGGCAGCAGTGACCTTCCATTAGTACCTTAATAACCCTTGGTGCTTTAGTGTTTCTTTAGCTGTTCTCGACATTTCTGTAGGTATCAATTGGTTTCTGTTCGTGTCTTTTTAGAATAACCTGAAGCCCCCAGAAACGAAGAGGAAGATACAACATGTTACATGGCCGTGAAGGGAAGTTTCCAAAAATGTAAATATAACTGTAATTGTAGTTTTTCAAACAAGTTCACATATATTGACACTATTTACAAAAATCCTGATTATTGTGGAATTTTCCTAAGAGGTTCAAAACAGGTTAAAAAAAATAGTCATTCTTTCTCACCTTCTGTCCCTTCCTTCCTTTTTAAAATTTGTCTTTCATATCCTGATTATGAAAGAATTTCTTTTTTAAAATAATGGCTTAATATGTGTCATTTATGTTGACCCTGGTCAGATCATTAGCTGCAAATCTGGCACAAAGCATCTAATGACTTTTAAAAATTGTTCTCATTAGTCTCTTTAAGAGTCTTTGGGGACATTTGAGGATTTTTTTTTAATTCATATATTGATTTACCATTTTTATTAATTTCTTTTCCCAAGCTGAAGCATATAACAGTTCATTGCAGTATTTTAGTAAATATTGCCACACTTGTCCTCAAGGATTCACTAAGAAAAGAATCTTGGTGGTACTGTTGGAAACTATTTCATATATACAAGTAAAATAGCTGTTCTTCAGTTGTTACATTGCTTCGTCCCATAAAAAACAAAAGGGAAGTCAGTGCTTGCTATTGCTTCTTCCCTGGAAGCATAATAGAATTGATTGATTATAAGCTGACTGGTCGGTCCATCCCTTAGAATGTTCTTGTCATGCAACAGTCCTGCCTACTCTTTTCATAATCCGTCAATGATCTCACTCTGTGAGTTCAGCCATTACTTCCTCCTGGGAGCTTAAAATCTTTTTAAAATTAAGTTCATTTAAAAATCTGTAGGCTGAATAATCATGTTAGAGGTGGTACTTGATGGGAAAATGTTTAGAGAATAGGGAGGGGCATAAAATTCTAGAACTTAGGAGAGTCCAGAAAGTATGGCAGTAAGCGGGGGAAAAAAATCAGTGTGCTCTGGAGTAGGCAGTGTAGGGGCTATTGACGGCAGAATTCACTGTAGAGTGCAGCACAGGAAAAATGGGCTCCTAGCTGGATGGGCTGCATGTAGTATAATATGGCTGTCCCATGCAGAATCATCTACAAGTTTCTTTTGTTGTTTTTTGTTTTTAATTTTTGTTTGAGTAGTATCACTCCAATTGTGTAATGGAAGTCAGTGAGAAAATAGGTTTATGTCATGTTCATGGATTCAAGTGTCTACTTTTTTGCTATATATTTCTAACCAAGAGCAAAGGTTACTTTGCACTTTTTTTCCTTGTATGATTGATCTTCAAATTGGGGTTTACCTTTTTCAATATGCTTTTAGAGGAGCCTCATTTCTCTTGATTTGTTAAACCAAGCATTTTAGTTCAGCTATTAAATAGCCTTACAAAAAACTAATTCAGCCTTGCAGGTAAGTACTGTACTAAGACTTTAATTCTATAGTTTTAACCATTCTGCCTTTACTCCAGACTGCAAATCTGTACGTGTAAGACAAAATTGATATGTACTAAGTGTTGCATAAATTGTTGATGTTACAGTAAATTTTTAAATATATTATTATCTGCAGGGCTGATATATACATATACATACATATATATATATATATATATATTATTGGGAACTGTGATCCTATGCGTAAATATATATTAAGGGAGATTTAAAGTACAGATTTTAGGGTAGAATGACAAATTATATTTTCTATTCAGTTGTCCCCTCTGCCTCCACCTGTATTGCTCTCTTAGTTAAGAGAGTTAGCCATTTGACGATTTTAAGTCAGTGGGAACTTTTTTTTAGTTACTCAGTGAAATTAATTTTTAATTTGTATATTTAACTTACAGAGTAGGTTGGTAATAACAGCTGAACTGTGTAACATTGTTGCTTCAAATTGAAGTTTATATTATGAACATTCAGAATCAGTGCTCATATAGCAGCATATTATTGAGCTATTTTGAGTTTGAAAGGTGAAGTGCTAGACCATGCCCTGTGTATTACATACTCCCACCATCTTAGAGCGCTGTGCCATCTGAAGGTATATGGATAGAGCTTGTCTCAAAATGACTTTCTCCACATAACGAAGCTTGCCGAATGCTGGGAATCAGGAGCCAGCAGCACTGGGAGTCTAATTTTGAAGTGATGTTTTGGTTTGCTTAACAGTTTAGGAGGACTTGATTTGAATGGTGTACAACTTTAGAATAATTTTTACTTGCTACGGTGGGTTGATAGTGTTGCTTTTGATTCTGTATTCCAACAAAGCCAGATTTTATTGTTGGGTTAGGCAAACTAATGGCATTGGAGTCAATGGGTGCCTTGTGAGGTATGGTAAGAGGCACCACTTCTGCCATCAGCAGGTGGGCCTTGCTGTTTTTTTCCCCTCTCTCATTTTGTTCCCTGTTTTCCTCTTCTCTTCTGTCCCAAATGGTTTCTTTCTTCCATTCATGTCCTTTCTGAGATCCTAAGCTTTAGGCTTATTTTGCAAGTCATATTGCTTAGCCCTACTTGTTCACTAAGGGGCAAAGATAGGCTAACCCCAGTCCTTTTGCACTTAAGGGATCATAGACTGCATGTGAATTCTGCAGTCTCGAGACCCTGCAGCTCCAGGGCACTAACTTGCTTCCTAGTGGCTGTAAAGGCACTACAGTTTTCCAAACTAGCCTTATTAATCTAGACAGCTACCAGGCGCCTTGGAAAGTTGGTTTGCTACTACAACTATGAGGCTATATTTGCTAGTGTTAAAATTCTTCAGAATTGAAATTTTTATTTGAAATAATATTTTGATTGACTTAAGTTTTGAGAGACCATTCTAAAACTGATCTAGAGACTCATTCAATAGCAATGACTTTTAAAAAACTTACATTAAGTAAAACTGCCAGTAGAGTAAATCATATATGTATGTAAGAGCTTCCTCTATTTACTACTGTGGAACTTCAGTAATTTTTAGAGGCTACCAAATGGTCAAAATGTTTTTAAGTGTGCTCTTTTATTAAATGCTTGTGCAAGTTTTGTAATTCAGTACAGAAAAGTTTCACCTTGTTATGTACATTTTTGTATGTAAAAAGTCTTTTAAGTAGCCTTATTATTTAAATAAACTGAGTAAAACTATCTTGAATAGATCTGTCATTCATAAAAAATAAAATGAAAAAATAGTGACTCATCTTCATTTGAGTAAACTAAATGGAAAGTGTTTTTTTTTTTTTTTTTTTTTATTGTATAACCTTCTCTAAGTGGAAGCTTAGAGTAGTCAGGTTTGGGGGGATATCAGGGTGCTGTAGAGACTGATGTGTTGATTGCCTCTATGCCCTGAAAGAGAAAGACAGAAGTCCCCAAACCTTCCCATGTAATAAGTTTTCCTATCAAAATGGGGCAAACCAGAGATTCAAGTAAGAGATTGTGTTGTGGTGACCTAAAAAATGAAAACCACTGACTTTTAAACTGGTATCAGTGTTGTTACATATGAAGACTAAAGCTCTAAAGAAACTTGGAAAAATCTCAGGTAATTTTCTGTTTTGGGTCTTAAAAAGTAGATCTTTCATTCTTTTGTATGGACTGAAGAAACAAAATCCATTTAGATTATTAAGTGCAGTTTACTAACTGAAGTGCTATACTCTTATAATTTTTAATAACTTGATTATCTTGTAGTAGAATAAAAAATAAAAATGTGAATTGCCTATGTATTTTAAGTGCCTACTGTTCAAGATATTAGCAGTGAACAAGGCAGATTAAGTTTCTGCTCTCATGGAGAAAGCAAATAAGTGAACAGTGAAATAATGGATAATTGTAATGATGGAAAGAAAATAATAAAACAGGGTCATGAAATGGTGAGGGTTAAGGAAGGTAGGGTGAGGAGCTGCTGTAAATATTGTGGTTAGAAAAGGTTTCTTGGAGGAGAAGACACATTAAGGGGAGAATGGCTGAGGGACAGCTATGGAAACTTTCAGGAAAAGCATCCTTCACGTGGTCAGTTTTAGATGGTTGCATATCCTGCTTTGTTCCATTCCTCCTTTCAAAGGTGGAGTCTGTTTCCTACCACTTGTGTATGGACAGGCCATAACTTTCTTTGGTCAAATGAGTACTCATACTTTCACATTTGGACCCCTGCTGCAACTAGGTGAAAAAGCCCAGGCTTGCCCAACTGGAAATATGTGGCCCAGCCAACAGCCAGCACTAACCACCAGACATGTGACCACTAGTCACCAGTCTCCAGTCTAGCTGCAAGTTGACTGGCTGCATCACTGTCCAGGTGAGATCAGTCTCTGATGATTCACGGAATCAGGGGTAAGTAAAACGAAGATTAAGCCAGTTAAGTGTTGAGGGTAATTTGCTGCCCGGTGAGTAGGTGACAGATACCAGACCAGACAAGATGTGGAAGCCCTGAATAGATTTTTCGAAACAGAAAGACTGGTGTGGCCCAAGTCAGTGAAAACAGGGAAGGATGGTATTAACTGAAGTTGGAGAAGTCAGGTGGAAGCCACATTATGTAGACACTTACATGACCATCCATGACCATCCATGGTGAGTACTTTGAATTTAAGTCTAAGAGCAATTGGCAGCTGTTAACTGCTCAGATTTAACTAAACTATTCAGTTTCATTTTTAAAAAGTAAGTCTAATGAGCCTAATAAGCAAATAAAAATCTTTTTTCCTCTTGTGAAGTTTTTTTTTTTTTTGGTCTTTGTGGTAGTTTGAACTAAAATATTGATATTTGTTTGACTCATAGTTAAACCTTTAAGAAACTGTAAAATACTCTACCAGTCATAGAAGACAATATTTTTAAAAAATATAAAAACACTACACCTATAACTTCTATTATGTCCATACTGCCTTGCTTTATAATTCTTTAACTTTTTTAGTAATAAACTTCTTAGGAGTTTTTCTATATCTCAAACTCAGTTTTTATATTAACATAGTATGGATTATTTGTCAAAAGGAATTAAAATCAACTGAACTCTATACTTTGTTCAAATTTCCTTAGTTTTTACCTAGTATCCAATTTCTGTTCAGGATCCTCCCCATAATACCACTTAGTCATCAAGTACCCTTAGACTCCTCTTGGCTGTGACAATTCCTCAGACTTTTGTTGCTTTTGTTGACCTTGACAGTTTTGAGGAATACTGGTCAGGTAGTTTCTCATGTCCCTCAACTGGGAATTGTCTAATGTTCTTCTAATGATTAAATTGGGGCTATGGGTTTGGGGTGAAGACACGGAGGTGAAGTGCTGTTTTCATCACATTATTTTGAGGCTACATACCAGAAACATGATGTTTTAAAGTTTAAGTAGTGTTCATCAGGTTTCTCCACTAAGACTTTCCTGTTCTCCTTTTTCTTATTGTGCTCTTTGAGAGGACATCACTTAAGGAGTAGGGAGTTAAGCTGTACTTTGTTCAAGTATCAAGTATATTTGATTATGTATGGACTCATGGAAACTAACTTTATACATTTGTTTATTTAATGCTTTTTTCCCCCCTCAAATTATTCTAGCATTGGCCATTAAAAGCTCTTTCAAGTTAGCTCCTGCTCCCTTTGCCTCAATGTTTTCTTTTGAGCACATCCTTACTTTTTGGCACTGTAGAGTGTAGTAGGTTCATTTTGTTTACTTTTGGCCCAAGTCTTAGGATCAGCCACTTCTCTAAGGAGACTTGGTTCATCTTTGGTTAAAAACCAAGTTCTGGGCACTAGATGTTCTCATTGCTATTGGGGTACCATTGCTTCTAGGCTTTCTCAACTGACAGCAACAGTTGGCCCTGTTACTTTGGGGCTTGTGGCAGAGCAGCACATCTTGGCAAGAGTATGTGGTGAAACTGCTTACCTCATGGAGGAAGCAAAGAGACTAGTGTTCCACAGTCCCCTTTGAAGGCATGCCTCCAATGACCTAGAATCTCCTACTAGGCATCTCTTTAAGGTTCCACCATCTCTTAATAGCACCTTGCTGGGGGTCAAAACCTTTAATACATGGGCTTTGGGGAACAGTCCAGATCCAAACTCTAGCCCTGTCTGGCTGTAGTAAGTCAAATATAAGTTCATATTGATGTCTAGGTCTCCCACTCCAACAGTGAGGAAGATGACTCTCACCAACCACCATCCATTGACTTAACTGTTCAATTCCAGTATACATTTTAGCAGCTAAAGAGTTGCTAGCCTAAAACAGTTGAGAAAATTTTATCAGTTAGATCATAATTATATATAATTCCTTTTGCTTCCAGTCTCAGATATATCTCTCATTTCCAGGGTTAAAAAGTTATATTATTTAAAAGAGAGTTTTGCAGTTTTAACATTTTAATTAAAAAGACAAATCTAAATTAACTTTTCTCCAGTTTCTTAAAATTCCTGGACAAACATCCATTCAACAATAATGTCTTCTCTGTTCAGGTTCTAGATAAAGTGTTTCAGTAAATAAGACAGGGTCCCTGTTCTCAAGGACCATGTTTTTATCAGTTCCAATTGATTTCAGTCCAAACAATCGTTTGAGAAGAAATCTAAAGAACATTTAATAATTAAAATCTCAGCAGTCTCTGCAATATGAAATAGTGTTTTAGTTATATTTTTAAATATATTTTATATGTGTTCTTTAATTCCTTAAAGCCTGGAGAAACCAACCAAAAACAAAACTAATGGATTTTTCTTTTAGAAGATTCCTGAAACCTGGGAAATAATTTTATTCATATGTGTCTAGTTGTTTAAATGCTTTTATAGACTATGGCCTATAGATGTCAGGAATGAAGTCACTTTGGGTTTTTTTTTTTTTTTTTTTTTTTTGTAAATTCTATTATTATCTAGTATTTTTTAAACTAAAAGTTTGGTTTCATAGTTTATGCACATTTGGGAATGTATATTATCTGGACATTTCCTTCTCAGTGTTTAAGAAGACTGCATGTGTATTCGGAGATAGAATTTGCATCATAATGATCTTTGTAGAAAATAATTCATATTTTAGAGCACAATGACTAGGAATCAAACCTGTTAGAATCAAACATGTTAGAAACTAGGTTTCTAACATGTTGGTGTCTCTGCAGTTGAGTAAGCTTTATTCTTTTGGGGCTTCATTTCCTCCTTTGTCGAGCAGTTGGGTTTCACTCTGTTTCTTATTTCTTTCTTATAGGATTTACCTTATGCTTATCCCTAAGACCCTTAAGTTTGTCATTTAATAGCCAAGCAAACAATGAAAAGTGTCCTCAGGTCTGAATGAGCGTCACTGGAGATAATGGAGGATTACACATTTTGCATATTTTAAATTTGTAAAGCAATGTGATTAATTGATATATCAGTTAATACCATTTTTAAATATTTTTTTAGTTGTAATTGGACACAATATCTTTATTTTATTTATTTATTGATTGATTTTTATGTGGTGCTCAGGATTGAACCCATCGCCTTGCACGTGCTAGGTGAGCACTCCACTGCTGAGCCACAACCCCAACCCAGTTAATGCCATTTTTATTCTGCTTTGGTATAGTTAATTTAAAAAAAAAAAAAATTTTTTTTTTTTCCAAGGGAGTTAGGGAATTTTTCTGGGCCTGACTATTCCTCAAGGGCAGCCCTGTGCTGACATTTTGAATTGGGTCTAGCTATGGCAAGTCAATGATGTGTTTAGCATATAGCCTGGGCTCCGTCTGTGTGATGACAGGGATTTCGGTGCTATCTCTAAGATTATGCTCTACTAATAACATTGAGTTCTTTTGCAGAGGTGAAGCTTTCACTATGGGACAGTGTTGAGAGATTAGTAACTAGTGTAGTTCCAGGGCACATGACACCACAGCAGACACATGTACTGAGCTTCTTTCCATGGTCACAGTCCATGTGGAGTGATGGTTAAAGTGTTTCTTCAGCTTTTCAGTGACTGGATTTTCACAGTTTTGGTTGAAGTTAGACTAGCTCTTAAGAACTTTACAGTATCTAACTTTAAGTATATAACTTATTGTATAATATCGTTTAGATTTAAATTATAGTTTAAGAAGCTGAGATTGAGAAAAATCAATGTAAATCTTAAAATTGTAGAATGTGTAACAGGAAGTAACTAGTACAATGTTTATAGTTAAGTTTTTCATATGTTAAACAGAGTAAAAGCCTTGCTCTGACTTCTTAAATGTAAGGAACAATTATACTAGAAAAAAAATATGTATATATTTAAATCTTAAAAGCACCAAAGATCTTATAGGCAAAACCTAAGAGAAAGCCAGAACACAGAGTAGGCCATTTTCTTTTGATTCTTTGTCCAAACTATAAGGGAGAGAGAAATGAAAGTTCAGCCCTCCAAGACAGAACCTGCTAGGTATGACTTCAAAGGACAGTACCACATAGGATGAGTGAATTAGAACAAAACCTATGAGGGAGGGATGAAAAGAAAGTGGAAGAAGAAAAACCAGGAAAGTAGCAAGAGAATAAAAAAGGAAAGCAGAAAGATGAGGTGGGATGAAAGCAGGCTATCATAGAATCTGAGCCAAAAATTTCCATCACTAAGAATGGTAAAAGTGTCTCAGCAAGTGTCTTGGGAGTAGTTCCAGTCCCCTCATCAGTCTAAGATGCTAGCACAGGCAATAAAAAATCACCACTGCAGGAAGACATCCTCATTCTAAGTCTCAGTAGACACCCATGGAGAATCTTAAGAAGGCAGAGATTAGCTGGCTATGATGGCATACACCTGTAATCAGCTACACAGGAGGCCGAGGCAGGAGGATTGCAAGTTTGAGGCCAGCCTGGGCAACTTAGCAAGACTGTCTCAAAATAAAATTTAACAGGGGTGGTGATGTAGTTTAGTGGTGGAGCACTTATATAAATAAGGCCCTGGGTTCCATTCTTAGTCCCATGGGATGGGGGAAGTGAGGTGAGGGGGAAGGCAATGATTAACACAATTCAAAATTAAGCATGCAAGGAGGCAATGTACCCAGTGTGACCTGCTGCAGAAACATGCAGTAGAGACATACTCATGAAGTTTTCATATATGGGAGAGTAATCAAGAGAAGATCAAGGAAGATCAAACATGTTTGCTCGCTGTGTATAGAAAAAAAAAGGTAAGCTTTAAAATGACTGCCCATTACAGGAAACTATAAAAAAGCACAACATACATATTTTGATATATTTTTATTGGGGTATAAGTTAAAAAATTATACAGCTTGGTGAAAATATATATGTTTGATGTATTCACACACCCCCAGTACATAAATGAAAAGGCATGGCTGTATGGCAATACAATTTTTTTTTTTTTTAAAGAAAACAGGTAGTGGGCAGGATTTAGTTCATAGAGACCTCTGAAAGGGTCCAAAAGATTGTGCATAAACTGTGCTGCACCTAAGAAGCAACCAGAGTGGGATGCAGAGTGGACTTGAAAGCACCTTCGATTCTCACATGGATCCATCAGCAAAGGCAGAAGTCTTACTGACTCAAAGTGCTTAATAAGTAGAACCTCTCACCAAACACTGGCCAAACATATTAACATATGTATTAAAAGAACTAATCCTTTAGTTCTATGTTTAAAGAATTGGAGGTGTGATAATTACCAAACAAAATAACAAAGTACAAAAAAGAATCAAATAGTATTCTGGAATTGAAAAGTACACCAATTGAAATGAAAAATGCACTAGTTGTGCTCAAGAGTAGATATGAATTGGGAGAAGGAAAAAAAATATGTGAAGTTAGACAACAGATGATGCTAACAGAGAAGAAAGAACAAAGACTAGTGAACAGAGCCTCAAAGAGATGTGATACAACATTAAACATACCAACATAGGCATAATGGAACTGCCAGGAGAGAAAAATGGACGAGAAAAAATATTTTTAAGAATTTCATGGCTTGAAAACATTCTCAAATTTGATGAAAAATATTAAACAAACTCAAAGGAGCATTAAGTGCAGAGACACTGGGTCACAATTACTTCTAAAATGCTGAAATAAAGAGCAAATTCTGATAGGCTGTAAAGCAATACAGTTCGTAAAGTTTTTTTTTTTTTTTTTATAGAACATACGCCAAAAAAAGTGCACAAAACGGGCAAAACTCAACTATGGTGACAGAAGTGAGACTAGTAGTTACCTTTTTGGAAGGAGCACAAAGGAACCTTCTGAAATGTTAGAAATGTTCTGTTATAGGTTGGCAACCCATAATTAAAGTTTAGGATGGTCTTTCATTTTGCCACATTTCCCACAGCTATCAAAGAGTTATTAACCCCCACTTAATTGGGCCAGCAAATCTGTATTGCTTTTGACAATCCCCTTAGGCAGATTTCTCAGAGCTTGGTACCAAATATCAGTCTCCTCAGGCAGAGCTGCTGAGCTAAGCTCGGTGTGGTGGTGCACACCTATAATCCTAGGCTCAGGAGGCTGAGACCAAGGATTGCAAGTTTGAAACCAGCCTCAGCAGAGCCTACCTCTTTACCACACCCCAATTCCACCCCATTCCCTTCCACCCTGGGCTTTGCAGTAATGTCCCTTCTCAGTGAGAGGATTGATAGCTTTGGTCTTTCAGATTGCCCCTTCCAATATGGAACCTCTATTATGAGCAGAGTGGACCAGGGCGTTTCGAACCCCAGGATTCTCAGCCTGTCTCTCCTGGGGCAGAGGGAGCCATTACCTTCTTGGCTGCACTCACACAGAGCTGGTCACATGAGGCTGGGGAGTGGGAATGGGTTAGGGCCAGGTGTGGCCCCAATGCTATGGACTGTCACTGCTTGCTAAGAGTAGAAGATTTCCCTGAATTCATGTTTCTCTATCAGTTGTATGCCTTTAGGGAAATTTTCAGAGAAGTGATGGGTTTTTATGTCTATCATTTCACAGCAGGAAGAGGGTCACCTGAGCTCTGCACATCACCATTCCTAAAGTCCCACCCAATAAGTATGTTCGCTTGTCAGGGCTGTTTGGAGTCTGGCCTATAGCCAGAAATTTGTAGGAGGTTCAGAGAACTTGGGGCTCTTTTTTCCCAGGACTTTTCTTTCATACTCCAGGAGCTCTTTATCCCAAACTCTGGCCTCTGATTCCTCAAGCCTGTGAGGCGAAAGACTTGCTAACAGAGTTTTAGCTGTTTCACTGGGACCTGCTATAGCCATAAAAACAGGACCATTCTTTTATTCTAAGATTCCGCTTCCCTTCAATGTCTGCCTGCTTTGGATCAAACTCCAGTGTTCCAAAATATTTTAAAATATTTTTGTTCAAAATGATTATTTGATGATTAGTCCGGTTGAAACTTTTTACTCAAAATGGAACTCCCTTAATTTTGGATCAGGTAAGATGGTGAGGAGTGGATAAGATGCTCTGTAATGAAATCTGGAGTGCTTTTACTTTTATATTATGAGGTAGAAAATGACATTACAATTGATGAGGGATGGAGTTATCTATGTGTGTGGGGGAGGGCGGGGGAGATTGAACCCAGGAATACTCTACCACTAAGCTGATAGGGCCTGGCTAAGTTGCTAAGGCTGGCCTCAAATTTGCAATTCTCTAGTCTCAGTCTCCCAATTTGTTGGGATTCTGTAATCCCAGCATGGTGTACCACCATGCCCAATTTAAGAGTTATTCTTTTAAAGCAAAAACCTCAAGTCAACTGTAAATCCAGAAGACCCATTTCACAGCCTAGCAAGTATTTCTAACAATACTGCCACCCCCTGGATTTTTCTGTGGCACAGCTTATCATTTTATCACATTGCATTATCTTAGAAAACGAAAGGATGAAAGGTCACTAATGCTACCATTCCAAGGCTAAATGTGCAATGCTGTATGCCATAAAGTGACTCAATGCTTCCCAAATGTGTACTGTGCTATCAAAGTTTATTTTATACACTACTGACGAACAATGAGCTCGGAGGGTTATTTTTACAACACTGGCTCTGTCTTTGTCTCTGTCTTCTGTCTTTTGTATCTTTTCAGAAATGCTAAAGGTTCCCAGAATGCCCAGGACATTGAGAATGTGAAGATGAATAAGATGTTGTCTCCGGCCTCAAGTTGCTTGTGTCCTTTTGTGTTCCTGCACTTTGTGGAGGAGAAGGCAGGTTTAGGACAATGAAACAAAGCAGAGCTCTCCCAGTAGAAGTAATCCTAAAGTTGACTTGACTTAGCCTCCTATTCCATTGATCCAGAGCATATGTTACTGCATCAAAGGGCAAGCATTATATTCCAAGAAAGGGAGTGCTTGGGACTGTAGGGGAGAAAAACAGCAAGGGAAAATATGGTGCCGATTGAAGGCTTCTTCTAAATAGATGGTATGATGTCATTTTAGATAGCAATGGCCCAGCCCATTAGAAGCTGAGCTCCATACAGTGATCACTGGACCATGGGATAAAGTGTAACTTAGACCCAGAAACTCAGCATTTAATCATTTCACACACTGTGTCTGGCAAAAGATTTTATTCTGATTAACTTTATTATAAGTCACATAATCTTGCTTTTAGGCTTTAGATGACAGGAAGTTACAGAGTTGCAAATACAAACTCTTTACCTTATTTATAGTTTGGAAAACTTTCAAGTTTGTGACATATGTCAATTGCACTTAAAAATTAAATAGCAGTGAAAGAAAGATGCATTTATAAAGATAGCGTTCAAAAGGAATTTTATGCTTGGATTTGTCTCACTTGATTACAAAAATTCCAAACCATCTTCCCACCTACAGTTTACAGAAGGGTTTTCTCCTTCCCTCCATTGAACTAGCATAAGGATTAAAGGATTTAAACAAACATGAAGATCACTGAAAGTGAAAGAGGAAAATCTTGAGGTGGCTGTGGGAACCAGAACTATTGCTTGGTGGAGAAAGAAAATATATAAATTTGTGTGAAATCACAAGCTGTAGCCTCCAGGGGTCCTTCAGATGTCTTTCCCACAGTCAGGGCACAGGATGTCGTCCCTCTCGGTGAGGAAGCCTCGCCCCACCAGGGACAGGGAGCACTTCTTACAGTTGAAGCAGTCGTTATGCCACTGCCGTTCCTCAAAGGAGATGTACTTCGTGCCTCCCAGGCCTGTGAACAGAGGAGACAACACACAGGGTGAAGGAGGGAAGGGAGTGTGAGCTAGTGAGAACCGGCACCCGACACTGGAAAAGGATTCCAGGCTGATGCATTTCAACATGGGCATCATGTGACAGTGATTTTCTAGCCCAGTGACACTGAACTGGGAATTCATATCTAATCAGCTACTACACACAGCCCCACAGAGCTCACAAGTATCAGAAGAAACAGGCACAGCAACTGGTTCCGAAAGGTGTGAGCAACATTGTGAAAAAAGTGCCTATCTTCTTTGTTTACTTGCTTATTGCGTGTTTTCCCAGGAATCAGAACTGTGAGAGCAGAGTTTCTCTCCTGCCTTCACTGGGTGCCTCAAGTCTGGTGCTCACTTTATGTTTAATAGATGAGGTTTGGAGAGGAGAGGGTTGATTCTTCCTGGAATGGCCAAGAAAGGCCTCCCAGAGAAGAGATGGGAGTGAGGGGATGGTTGTTCTCGAAGAGAAAAGATGCTGAGATGAGCCCTGAAAGCACAGGCTAGCAGAACAGGCAGAGGAAAGAGGGGGCTTGGTGAGGTGAAGTGTCGTGGTGGGAGAGGAGCCAACACAGCTGGAGCAGATTATGAAAAGTGTCAGGGAGTGGACAGTCATTCTATTTTTTATTATATTTTTCGTGATGCTGGGGATTGAACCCAGGACCTCATGCATGTTAGGCGAGTGCTCTATCACTGAGCTACATCCCCATGTATGCGTGTGTGTGTGTGTGTGTGTGTGTGTGTGTATGTATGTATGTGTATGCATGCATGTTTATATATACATACTATATAATATATATAAAATGTGTGTGTGAGTGTGTGTTACTGAGAATATATATATATATGGTACTGAGAATTTAACACAGGGGCACTTTATCTCTGAGCTATATCCCCAGTCCTTTTTATTTTTTATTTTGAGAAAGAGTCAGGCTAAATTGTTGAGGCTGGCCAAAACTTGCAATTCTCCTGCCTCAGCCTCCCCATTTGCTGGAATTACAGGAGTGCATCACTGTGCCGGGCCACAGCCCCAACATTTTAACCAAGAAAAGTAGTAACTTGTTTTCAGTTTGACTGCTTGACTTGTGTTTGATGACTAATCCCCATCAAATATTTAAGGTACAATGGTCCCTGATTATGGTATCAGGGGCAGGAGGTTTGTACACTGTTGCCTACCCTGAAATAAAACAGAACTTATGTCACAGTTACAATCTGTTGAAATGTAGATAGGGAATTCCAATTAGAGTTCTTTCCAGAAATAATGGTATGATCCCCCATATTAAAAACAAAGTAACCGCTCTGATGACTCGTTTCTAATGGTCTGAGTCCTCAGATGTGCATGAAGAGTCTACACTTTGTCAGGTAGGTTCTATTACAACTTAAGCATTTAGGCTGACCTTGGACATCCAGTTCACATGGGGAGGCTGGCCTTAGAGCTACTCTTTCCAGCAAGTGAGTGACAGGGTTGGGACTTGAATCCAGGCCTGTCATTGCAAATTCTTGTACCCTAATACTACAGTACATCTGCTACTGGTGCAATGCAAACCAGAAAACCCTGCTTACTCTCTAGTCTTAAACATCATAGAGCTTAAAAATAAAAGTTACTGGTGCTGGGGCATGTAGCTCAATAGTAGACCACTTGCCTAGCATGCATTGAGGCCCTGGGATTGGTCATGAGAACCCAAACACCCTGCCCACCCCCAAAACAAACGGTTATGTCAAATAACCAATGTTTGTTTCCACTGTATTCCTTGGCTTTCCTTATTCTAGACGCATAAGAACTATAAAAGACCTACAGACCATAGAGCCCATGCACTGGTCCAGGGCAGAACTCAACTGATACTTTAGGCCAGCAGTTCTAACTCTTCTGCATATCAGAACCATCTGGGAAGTTTTTTAAAATTCCAGTGCCAAGGTCACAGCTCGTATCTATTCAATCATCAGTTGTTTTGACCCTCCTCAGCAGTTTGTAGTACGCAGCTGAGCTTGAAAACCAGTGGTGTAGGCCACACTTTGATTGATTGATTGATGGGCAAGAAGGGCTAGAAGGTGGTTCTTTTTCTTTTAGGCATATAAACCACTCTGAGTGAGCTACAAAGCCAAGAAACAACTTCTCAGATGCCCCAGCATCACTGACATCCCACGTTTCTCCTTTCTCTCACTCCTGATAAGCCCAATATCATGGAGCTGGGGGCTAGGAGAAAGATTAGCAGTGGGAGGGGAAGACGAAAAAAGATGTGACAGGTGTCATGCAGGGTAGAAAGTGTCCTTCTAGAAACTCCACTGTTGTTCTGAAATGCTGGCAAATAGACATGAGAGCCAACATCAGCCCCATGGGAAAGAGTCCTCCTAAATGGAAGATGTATATACAATTGATCATGGTTATTCACAGGAGTCATATCCCATAATGTCTTCTGAACACTGAATTATCAAATACTGAACCATTATTCCAAAGAAAACTCTCAGGGTTACGTTCCCACTAACCTCTCTGGTCACAGTATTTTTATCAACTGATTAATAAATGATGTTATTTTATGTGTGTTTCTTATTGATTTAGTACAGATTCATCAAAACTGAATTTTTGTCCAGTACTATAACTCACACTTGAATGAAGCTTATCTAACATATATTTTCTTTGTGTAAGACACATCAGACTTTTCATACTTAGGGACACTAAACAGAACTTTGAAAACCGTTTTAAACAGTGGAGATGCCAACAAAAATCACACACACACACACAAAAGTATCACTAAAGACTGAGAAAAGGACACTTATTTGCAGTATCAGCACTGAAACCAGAGAGCAGGGCATCATCTAAGCTCTGATAGGTATCTTTCCTCAGCTGGGAATATGTGTGTCTGGCAACTCAAATTTGTCACTCCCCCGTGCCTGTCTGTGGATGAAAGCGTCTAGGTATCGATCTGGGGTTACACATAAATTTTTAGCAAGTAGGCAAGTTTGTAAGTTTGGATTCTGATAATGATGATCAACTATATTTATATGAGAATTAAGCATCACTGCACATAAAAAAGTTGGAAAATACCAAATTCCAATTTATTTACAAAAATAATTTAAATTTTGTTAAAAAGGAAAAGTAAAAAATAAAGATCTATATGAAACAGTCTAAGCTCTGAGCCTTTGCAGTTCTATGAAAATCTGGCTAAAAGTATATTTTAGCTACAAAGTTCATCTATATATCCTTGAAAATAAGTCATTACTTTTCAGAGAATTAATTCTTCTGTTTTAGAGGAAAGTTTTCTGTTTTGTTTTCCCTAGTGTTGTTTCTTTCAATGCTGTGATGATAACTGCAGTTAATAACCACACATCTAGTTATCGGATTCAAAAGTGCTTTTCTGTGGATGAAAGTTTCATTTTATAAGCATTTACAATGACAGAAGCCACTATGAAAACAGCATTCCCTAATGAGAATGTTAGGGTAGAAGACTGAATTTTCCCCTCTAAATAATTCCAAGAGAAATGTCATAAATAAATGACCAGAACTGGATGTCTTAACATAGGAAAATTTAAGTGCTGTGATTTTTTTCTTTATATTTTAATTTCAATTGGGAGTATAATGAGCTCTGGATTATACCCCAAAGGACTGTTTTAGTGGCCTAGAAAGGTGAACTTGGTTCTAGGCCCGAGGAAAAGAAAAGTTAAGGAAAAATGCATAGGAACAGGGGTGCATGAATTTGTGTAATTACATTGCAAAACCACACAGGAAAGTCATGCGGCCAAACCACTGTGTACTAGAGGTGTGTACCATCTTCCTGTGGTAGGGATGAAACCATTGACTGAATGAGAAAAGAACAATATGGAACATTTCTTACACCATGAAAGAAAACTCACTTTTTCTCCCCACTGGTCATTGGTGTAGCGATACACGGTAAACATTTAAAGGACTTCAGTCTGAAGCCGTCTACTCTCCATCCTGTATTTCTTTGGTATGTTTAATTGCTTAGTCCACTGCCTGGTCTACCAGCCAACAAGATTTTAGATTCATTTTTACCAAATGCTTTGAGAACTATGATTAAAAAAAAGTAAGACCATGCCCTCTACCGTCATCTACTTATGGTCTGTTGTGGCAGAAGAGTCACTAAGAAGCCACTGCATACTTCTAAAAGCCCAGGTCAGCTGCTAAGCCTGAAAATGGCAGTTTTCATGGTGCTCATGTAATTGTCACAGACTTGCAGACTTCACTTTTAAAGATAATCCAACCCAAAGTAAAGCCATCAACCTGAGAGCAGGCCACATGGTTTCCAGGGACCAAGTGTTGGGAGGAAGTCATTAGAACCTGCTGGAGCATTAGCATTGGACCAAGGAGAGGAAAGCTTGGAAGACAGGTCTGCAGGTGTGGAACCTCAGCAAGGCCCGGAGGGTCTCAGGATTTCAATACCATCACATGATGAAGTGCTTGGCCTAGTTCAACCTTCAGGTGGCTCCATGAGGCTGATGGCCCATGCCCTGGCAGTGGGTTTTCCTGGGACACTCACCACTGATGGGGTTGGTACACCCTGCGCACTTCTTGGCATATAAGTCGCAGAAACAGGTGAGGCAATAGGCAAACTCATCCCGGGCTGTGAAGCGCTGTCCCGACAGTTGCTTCTTGCAGGCAGTGCACACGAAGCACTCCTTGTGCCAGGGCTGGTCTCGGTAAGTGACCCCTCCTGTGGTGATGGGCTGAGGGAGCAAGGGGGAAAGTTAGTGGCCTCTGTTTCCACCAAACATCCACCTCTGCTGTGGCCACTGGACGATGCAGATCACACCCAGAAAACATCAGGTTTGTTAAGAGCCATGAAAAAGCAGCAAAACTCCACCCCATTGTTACCCCTCCACGTACTTTCACTGTAGCCCCAGGCGTTCCTGCTAGTGACATGGGTCCTGGTGTGTCTGTCCTCAGCTCTTCAGGGAGTGAGGACCTAAGGCACAGATGTCATAGGGGCACTGCCACCACCCTAACTAGGGAGACAGTGTGGTGGAGAGGTCATGATCAGAAACCACATCAAGGACACTGGGGTCTGAATCCCAGTCCTACTCCTTACCAGCCCTGTGGCTGGGGGCAAATCATGGCTCAAGAGCTCAGCATCTCAGTTTTCTCATCCATGAAGAGGGGTACTGAGGACAAAGGAGAGGATCTCTAGGGTGGCCTCAAAACCTGGCCTTGTTCCTCCTCCCACAGTGCTCTCCAATTCAGCCCATTCAGCAAGAAGGGCTGTGGAACAAGAAGAGAGAAAAGTCTCCAGACAGCACCTGCAGATGCCACATAAAGGGACCAGCATCCTGGAAGCTTTGGGAAAAATAGGCCCAAAGACTTTGTCCCCAGCCTGTCTCCCAGCCTTCGACCATTTGTGAGAAGAAGCTGCAAACTAGTGAACTGGTCATCAATGCCTCAATTTTATCTAGTATTTTCCTCCAAATGTTGCTTTTCATATTCACGTAAACAGTGGATGAATAATGGATATCAGAGGTGTCCCGGTGAAGTCTCAGTGCCACAGATCCACGGCAGCAGAAGACAGAGCAGAAAAACTACAACACCCCAGATTTGCCTTTCTGCCCTTTTTATTTTTTGAACAGTGTGACAGAATTGGGAGACTCCTTTGGTCCTTATGTAAGGCTTATGAAGGAAGAGATACTTCTTCCTTTTACAGATGAATAAACTGAGACCCAGAAAAATTTATAAGTGACCTGCTCAAGAATTCATTCATAGCTGGTTAATGACAAGACAGGAACTAGAATTCGGGACTCCCTTCTATCCTCTATTTTTTTCATTCATTCATGAATCATAAATCATCTGCCTATAAGTGACTCCCATCCCCAGAAAGGATTTATGGAAACATGGTTGGTCTGGATATTTCTATGGGGAAGACAGAGGGATGCATGACAGCTCTCCTCCTTAGGTGCTCCCTCCCCAGCTCTGGATTCTGGGCCCTTCATTGCTTTCCATGCCCATCAGCTAATTCAGATGCATCTCAGCCTCAGTGTTGCTTTCTCAAGAGAGTCATTCCCCAAGCACCACCCGGTGCGCTCTCCTCATGTGAGCCAGGGTCCTCTTGTCACCCACTCTATTAATACTCCATTCCCCTCCACCAGCATGTGTCAGAAAACACCCCCTGGGTTGGACAGTACAGTGTGATCACTGCTGGATATCAAGTGATTCCTGGTGCCCCGGGGCCTTGTTCATAGCCTGAGGAATGACACCTCTGGTGGGTGCTCTTTGTGGGTTTAACGAACATGCACACAAAGGCGTATTGTCATGACTGCAACTGAGCAGATCCCATGTTGGGCAGGATGACAGCAAGAGCCAGCAAATCAAAACCGCCCTTGGATCTTGAGGAGAAGAATAAAAGGGGTGAACAGAGATGAGGAATCAGCATAAAACTAGCAATGAGAGTTCAATCTAAGGATGAAGAGAAGAACAGTGCTTCCTGTCCACAGCTGGTCACCTGTGGAAATGGTTCACTATTTGCTTGATCCAGAAAACACCACACAACCATACAAATCAAGAGGTTCAATTCTTTATGCACCTGAAAGATGTCACTGTGCAGAATCAGTGGGTGCCCTCCCAGCAGCACAATGGCAGAGCTAGCAGGAAAGCCTAGGCCAAAGAGAGGGGCTAGACATGGGGCCAGGGCTCCCCCCACAATTTTTTTTCACATGTTTACAAATGTAGAGAGGAGTGTTGAACTTAAGGGTTTCAATGTAGATTCTCCGGTCAGTGAACACATTCAGTTTAATAACCGATCTGTCCCCTGTCCATGGGTAGACCTTCTTCTCTCCTTTACTTCTCACATCTTCTCTCTCCTTTCTTTCCTTCTGTTCCCTCTTCCCTCCTCCTCTCCCATCCCCCTCCTCCCCCATCTTCTTCTCTCTCAAATATAGCAGCTGGTTTCTTGTTTATTCCAGATCAGCTTTAAAAAGTCAGCTCTCCTTCCCTCTAACATCAAGTGCATTTTTGGAATCATTCTGGAAAGCAGGGCTAAAGGATTTTTAACCACAGAAAGCAGCAGTGCTCATGTCTTTGAAAGAAGGATCTGAACACAGATCCAGTAGATAAAAGGCACAGGAGCACATGAGAATTCAGCTGTAAGGCAGGACCAACACCAGTCTGAAGCCACTTAGGTACTGCGTAAGGGGAGACCTGACAGAAAGCCACGGAGGCAAACCAGCTGGGACATGCAAGGCCCAAGGGGGAACTCAAGATACCTTTTTGCACTGAACACACTGCAGGGCATATTGCTTCTCGTAACAGGGCACGCAGAAATTCTGATTGTCTTTAGGGATGAAACTCTTGGTTCCTATGGGCTGTTGGCAGCGATGGCAGATGAAGCAGGTCTCATGCCAGCTGCTGCCCTTGTACTCCATCTTGCGGGTACCTATTGTCAAAGTCAAGAGAAAACAGCATGGTTATAGCCTGGCCTGGAGTTCTGGTCCTCTGCCTTCACAGGCTGCTGCCACCTGGTTTGAGATGGGAGCAAGTCTTCAGCTCTTTGGCTCCCCTCTAACTGTGAATAATTCCTATTTTGTGGAGAATAAGGACTCTGCCTTTCTTTTGTTTCTTTGCCATACACCCAGGTCCTAGAACAATATGTGTACATAGTATGTACTTGACATTTATTTTTTAAATATGGTGGTTGGGAATATTAAATGAAAAAAAAAAGTCTCTCTTGGCATTGTAAACAGAGAAGTCTGGCACAGCAAAGACCAGTTCTTATGGAGGATGACTTAGAATACTTCACTTTACTTGGAGAGTCACTTCCTTTGGTGTCAGTTACCTATGGTCAACCTCAGTCTGAAAATATTAAATGAAAAATTCCAGAAACAAACAATTCAGTAGTTTTAAATTGTACAGCCCTCTGAGTAGTATATTGAAATGTCACATGTCCTGCCAAGGATGTGAATCACCCCTTTGACCAGTGTATCCATGCTGTATATGCTATCCACCCATTAGTCAGTAGCTGTCTCAATTATCAGATGGATTATTAAGGTATTGCAGTGCTTGTGTTCAAGTAACCCTGATTTAATATTGGCCTATTTCATTCGTCTATTAATAATTATTTAATTATTAGTTACTGTTGTGACACACTTACTTTGCCTAATTTACAAATTAGACTTTTCTTTAATATTAAAGCAAGACCACTTCTTTTTTTTTTGTATTTATTTTTTAGGGGTAGTTGGGCATAATATCTTTATTTCTATTTATTTATTTTTATGTGGTGCTGAGGATCAAACCCAGGACCTTGCACATGCAGGGCAAGTGCTCTACCGCCGCTGAGCCACAACCCCAGCCCCCTAGACTTTTGATCATAGGTTTGTATCTATAGCAAAAAAAGATAGTACATTTGGGGTTGGCTACTATCCATGATTTCAGGCATCCATTGGGGGTTTTGAAACATAACACCCTGAGAATGAGGAGGACTACTGTGCATTCTCCTGTTTCAGTCTACAAATTAAAAGCCCCTCTGGTTTTCAAAGAGGTGGAAATGACTGTGTGGTGGCTGAACCTGGACCTCAAGCCTGACTCAGCAAGGACCTTGTCCAGCACTCACTTTATGCCTCTGGTTGTGTGAATCGAGATGGGATGTACCTTTGTAGTTTCATGCACTGTGCTATGTGCTATGATTGAAATCTACATGTGGCACTTGTACATCCCATTTAGCAGTCCTCTAATCTGATCTTGTGCCATCCCGTTCTCTTTGGAATAACTATTATCATTTGATAGGGTTCTACCATTCCTCCAAGTCAATCAAGGGAACGGAAACATTTTTTGGCTCACTCCACCATTCACAACATTTGTTGACTCACGTTTTTATACATTCCCCCAAACAGTGCATACTTATGGAAAGATATAATTCAAGATAGAAGATGCATGTAATCGCTGTTCATATAATATCAGAAGTTAAAAAAAGACGGGAAAAGAAATGTAAAGGATAAAGAGATAGAAAAGTACTTCCCATGTGCGAGGCAGCTCAGGGCCCAGTCCACTAATATAACCCACAGCCCCAATCCAGATCGCTGCTGTTTTCTAAATGAGCTCTTATCATTCTTTATTATTATTGATACTAATTTTGCAGTGCTGGGAATCAAACCCAGGGCCTCAAGCATGCTAGGCGAGCACTCTACCATTGAGCTACAGCCGGTCCATACACTGAGGTGGTGAATGGAAGGCAGCTGCACCCACTCTGTGGCTTTCCCCCATTCCACTGGCACAGCAGTTGTGTAGTTGTGTACTGTGGTGTAGTTGCGCAGAGTAGCAGTAATTGAGTAGAGACTGCATAGTCTGCAAAACCCAAGACATTTATCTGGCTCTGGATGGAGGAATTTTGCCAACCCCAGGTCAGGTGAAGGATGGGGACACCCAGGCATGATGGGTGCATCCATCAGACTTCAATCCAGACATCGGAAGTGAGGAGGACGAGCCTGGAAGGGAGCTGCCTGTCCCAGACCAGGGGAAGCACTGAGATAACGCAGGCTGTGGACAGGAGTCTGTGAAAGAGACCCTGACTCCAACTCCAAACATAATAGATATGGTCCCAACAGTAAGCTCAGGCCTGTCTTTCCGCCAGCTGGAAGTCTGGTCAGGGGCATCCCCGTCTCAGGTAATTAGGAATGTGCTGAGAATTATTACATGATTATTTCATTGGATGTCATTTCCAGGCCACTTTCTCAGGTTCCCATTCCCCCCAAACCAGACATCCAGGTTCTGCCTTGCATAGATTATATAAAATATGCAGAGGTGTGTGTGTGGGAGGGAACTCAGGTGGTGACCTGTAATGATCTTCAAAGCTAAGGTATACAATCTATAGAATTTAAACTCGGGGATGGATCCTGAGACAAAAACCACATAAGCAACCGAAATCCAGTAAAGATGGTGGGAGGAATTTAACGCACAACTTAGAATGGTTTTCCTTGGCCTCCAGGGGTTTCTTTACCCATACATACTTTTGTAACTTGCTCTTTTAATGTGGGACCTTCACTCTCATCAAGTCCGCCCAAAGCCAAAAGATTTTGTCAGTGAACATGGGGACAGTTGACTGAAGTGAATTCTTGGCATTTTCCAAAGTAAGTCTTAAGTGAACACCAGTGCTCTCGGAACTGACCATGCAGGGGGCTCACTGGGCACCTGGAGCCAGGGGAGATGGTGACTGCACCGTGACTGCAGTGGGCACAGTGCTGTACAGTTATGCAACACGGCCAGAAGGTGGCAGCCGAGCTCCACCTCAGAAGGGAATGGGGCTCAGAACAGCCTATGGGCAGGAAAGTGCAGGCTAGAGGAAGGGTATCATTCTGATTCAAGGAAACAAATGAAAAATCAGATACCTGGGTGCAAGATTAGAGTCACTAGTCCCCCTTGAACCTGCTCAGAGCCTGCAATACATCTGCAAGAAAAGTCCTCCAAGGGAGGCTCAGTATTTGGACAATGAGTGCTGGTGAACCCCAGAACTGGGTTTTTCCTCCCTAGTAATCAAGAGATTGGCTTGTGTGGGGCCCTCAGGGAAGATTTTTCACTTGGGACATGCCTCTTGTCCTATAAATCTAAATTCATTGCAAAAGCTATGCTGATGATCTGTCTGCTCTCCATATTACTATTATAAAATTATCATTATTATTTTGAGTACTGGGGATGGAACCCAGGGGTGCTTTACCACTGAGCTGCATCCCCAGTCCTTTTAATTTAATTTTATTTTGAGACAAGAACTCATTAATTTACTGAGGTTGGCCTTTAACTTGTAACCCTCCTGCTTCAGCCTCCTGAGTTGCTGAGATTACAGGTGTGTGCCACATGCCCTGCTTAAATTTATACTTTTTAATTGGCATATAATTATTTGTACTTATTTAGAGGTTACAGTATTATAACTTGATACATGCAAAAAGTGAAGAACAATCAAATCAGGGTAGTTGGCATTTCTGTCTCCCCAAATATCAGTTCTATACGCTGAGACTCGGCAAACACTTCTTTAGAAAAGATAAATGAATTGTTGTTGTCTATAGTTTTCCTGTTGTACAATGGAATTAGGACTACTTCCCCTCCAATGCTCTTTTAAAAATCAAACCACTGGGCATGGTGGCCCATGCCTATAATTCTAGTAACTCAGGAGGCTGAGGCAGCAGGATTGTGAGTTCAAAGCTTGCCTCAGCAACTTAACAAGGCCATAAGCACTCAGTGAGACCCATCTCTAAATAAAATATAAAAAAGGGCTGAAGCTGGGGCTCAGTAGTTAAATGACCTGGATTCAATCCCTGGTAGCAAAAAACAAACAACAAACCAAGGTAAGCAAGTGCTTTAATCTGGTGTTTGTTTTTTTGCACACCCCAGACTTTCTAGACACCCTGCCTTTGGAGCTCAGCCCACTTCTCCTGGTAGAGGTACCTGTAATACAGGGATCAAGCCGTCCAGCTCAGGAGACTCTGTGAAGATGACATGGGACTCCAAAAGTCATGTGCCTGGCCAAGGGTGGGACTCTGGTTATGCTGTTATTATTGCTACCTGGCATTTTCTACCACTGATCCTGAAGTTGAGAATTTAGTAGCCCAGATCCTCTTATTCCTTAACAGAACAGACTGCAGGGCAGTTACTTCCTAAGATATCTGTTTAGTTCACCTCAGAGTTGCTGAAGTGTTTGTTTTTTTTTTTTTTTTTTAATCTGTGATCAGATCATGGGTTTTGGCTTTTCCCTCTTCCCAGTAAACCCCACGAGAAATGGAAGGTGCAATGATTGAATTTATATGTCAGCTTGGCTAAAATATGAGAACTGGTTGTTTGCTCAAAAACCAGTCTAGCTGGGCACAGTGGTGCACACCTATAATCCCAGTGGCTCAGGAGGCTGAGGCAGGAAGATTGCAAGTTCAAAGCCAGCCTCAGCAAAAGCGAGGCACTAAGCAACTCAGTGAGACCCTGTCTCTAAATAGAATACAAAAGGGCTGGGGATGTGCCTCAATGGTCAGTGTCCTTGAGTTCAATCCCTCATACCAAAAAAAAAAAAAAAAAAAAGTCTAGCTGGACCCAGTGGTATGTGCTTGTAGTCCCAGCTACTTGGGAGGTTGAGGCAGAAGGATCACTTGAGCTTAGGAGCCAGTCTGAGTAACATAGTGAAACCTGTCTATTATAAAGCAAAATGAAAAGCAAAAGTCACACTAGCAGTGTTGCTGTGAAGGTGTTTTTTCCATGTGATTAGCATTTACAATCAATAGACAGAGTGAAGCCCATTGTGGGGGGTGGGTCTCATCTAATCAGTTGAAGTCTCACTAGCAAAGACTGTTTCCCCAAGGGAAGAAATTGTTCTCCAGAATCTCCCTGGCCCAAGTTTCCAGCCTGTTGCCTTGAAGAACTATATTTGGAACTGCAGCATCAATTCTTCCCTAGGCTGCCAGCCATCCAGCCTGCCCTTCAGATGTCAGACCCCACCCCCCTTATTGTGTGAGCCAGTCTTTTGAAAGAAATCGACCTCTCTGCACACACACGTGTGTGAGTGTGAATATATCTCCTATTGGTTGTTTCTCCACAGAACCTAACAGAGAAGGCCAAGTCAGGGGGAAAATGCAAAGATCCAGGAGATGTGTCCCTTCTACCTTGTGAGGAAGATGGAGTCTCATCCAAGGTCAGCAACCAGGGAAGTCCCAGCTCCAAAACAAGAGAGCTGAAAACTAACAACCGTCATTTCCACTTCGTCCCTGAGAGCGGAGTCCAGGGAAGAAGAGCTGGTGTGGAGGCCAGGACGACGATCGTAATGACGAACGTCACCGAGGAATGTCTTGGAGAGCATGCGTTCCTCCTTCAGGTGAGGAGACCAAGACCTGAGCGGCTGCCACTGGCTGAAGTTACTTAGCTCCTGGGGAGTCAAACAAGGGCACTGGGCCTCTGGCTCTAGGTCCAATGCACTTGGACCCCACTGAGATGCCTAACTGAAAATGACCCAGCGCTGCTCTTTGTATCTTGCCAGTGAGGTTGTGAGCACTCCAAACCTATGCATGAGCCCTCCACCAACACACTGTGCGGGACTCCCCCTCCGCCATCTACCTGTACAGGGAAGCACCTTGACTCATAGGGAGGGACGCACTTTTTCCTTCATCTGTTCTAGTGAGGTTCAAACCTGTATGCCTGCAGCAAAGCACGCTGAGAGATGGACAGGATTTACACTCCTGGTTCCTTCACTGGTAGGATGAGACAGGTGGACCTTTAGGGGCCTTTAATTTCATTTAAGCTGAAGATGGCAAATGCTTTTATGTTCTCATGAAAGGAGCCTCACAGAGCCCCTTCTTAACACATGCACCATGTGGTCACCACGGCTAAATGGCCAGTGAACTCCTTCCTTGGGGGCTGGGGGTGTGACTCAGGGGTACAGAGCTTACCTAGCGTGTGCAAGGCCCTGGGTTCCAACAACACACACACATATACACATACCACCACCACCAAAACCCACAACACTTCTGAAGAAGTGTGTCGAGCAAGCCCAGACAAACATCTGGTGACACCAGGTGGTCCCTGCACCTTCACCTGCTCCGGAGAACCAGTCTCCAGCCGCCTGGCCCAGGGCCTCCCTCACCTCTCCAACTCAGGAAGAGCCCTAGCATGACCTGGTCCCCAGGAAGGGGAAGGAAGGACATGGAGATGGGGAGAAGATGAGGGTGGAGGGCAGGCAGGATTTACTAGAAAAAAGGAAGAATACTGAAGGAAAAAAAAAGTAGATCAGAGAGGACAAAGTCAGAAAGCCTGCACCAGCGGGGGCACTTGGACCCTGGGGAGTGCACTAGGGGAGGAGAATTTGGGAGCTGTGGAATGGAGAAGGAACGAGGAGTTCAAGAAGTTTGCTATGAGTCCTCAGTGGACGCCTCCTTGGGCTCTTGTCAAGAAAACCAGCGAAGATTTCATTTGTCTTCCAGCGAGTGCTGTGGGTTTTCTTACTACAGGACGGCTGCGTCCTGCTCAGGGCTCCCCGTGGGCTGGGACCACAGCAGGCCCAGGCTCCCACAGGCTGCCCTTGTCCTTCCACTTGGCCCTGCCCTTGAGCCCGAAGTGTCTAATGTCTGCAGAGCGGGGCCACTCTAAGGGGCCTTCCCGCCTTCATCTCCATCTTCCGAGGCTTCCTCGCGGCTCCATCCTCTCCCACAGCAGGCTGGGTGTTTCCGATCCTTGTCATAGCATGTCATCATTATTTTCAAGTTGCATTAGCCAGAGAAATGCAGTAGATCATCGCCTGAAGGCCTAATTATTTCCATTTAAAAAATTATAACTTCTTATCCAATGTATCTTCCTAAAATACTTCCCATCTGTCAGTCTCTCACTCACAACTCTCCAGTATCTCTTCGCTGCCAAAAAACAAAGCCAACTCAAAATAAAACAGAAACTGTGTAGCTTGGCAGTCGGGGTCTCCACTAAAGGATGGGGGTTCAACTCCAAATTCCCTCAGAATCACAAGGTTAATTTACTCTTTAGACCACGGTTTCATTAAATTTTACATAAACCCTGTCAACTCACCTAACTCAACATTCTTGCTGTGGGTTAGAGTCTCCTAACACGTCTGCCCTTAATTCCCTTGAGCTCAATTTTCTTTGCAGGTCCATGGAACTCAGCTACTGGATGGCAGGATCATTCGAATGGCTACTCTGATATTCCAAATCAGCATTGGCTGTACTGAAGCTACCAACTCAAGGTCCTCAACTCGAGTTCTTCTTACACATCTTATTATTGCATTCGTTGATGTAATGAATATTAAAAACCCCTTTTAGTCAGGCATGGAGCCTCTAGTCCCAGCTACTGGGCAGGTGGAGACAGGCAGATTGCTTGAGCCCAAGAATTCAATGCCAGCCTGGGCAACATAGCAAGACCCTATTTCAACAAACAGACAAATGAAGCAAAAAATCCTTTTAAGTGGACTTTTTGTTTGGTTCCATTTACTGACAGAGTGAACCAAACTTCTTTAAAACTATGTTTCCACCACCAGGCACAGGGGCACTCACCTGTAATCCTAGCAGCTTGGGAGGCTGAGGCAGGAGGATCAATGAGTTCAAAGCCAGCCTCAGAAACTAAGTGAAGGGCCACACTTCCTAAGGACATCCTATTGAAGAGAGGTTCTCTGCTGGCTCTGTGTGGCTCTCCTGTAGGGATCTCAAATTAAATAGGTCCCAAGTGGGATCCACATGAACAAGTTCCCTGGCATTCATATTTAACTGGTGTTCTGCATTTGTATTAATTAAAACGAGGTAATTCTACCCATAGGTCACCCTTTCGCCGCTGGTCATGCAAAGGATGTCCTGATGGCACATAGCCTTAGTTAACAGCCACAGACTACCTTTCTGTCAGTCTCCAAGGTCAAGATCTTAGGTTCTTTAATGAGCTACTCTCCCTCACCCTCATTTTTCAAATGAATCTGACAGAATTTATCTTTGTAATACTTTATTTTAAAAATCCTACATTTTGTTCATTTTTTTAAACAAAAAATTCCTCTTCTCACTATCAAAATAAAACTAACAATTTCTCCCCTCAAAAAACCAAGGGACTTAATCTCGTCCTCCCCCACCAACAAACAGTACACTTTATCACATCCCTTGACCTGGCTGTGGCTCTGCCCTTTCTGATGTCCTCAGCACACCTGCTCCACACACCAGCTCCAGGAGGGCAGAGGATGGCGGGGCTCCCACCCACAGCTCATGAACGCCCCGCTCCGGCCCAGGGCCCTGAACACACCAGAACTCAATAAATACCTGCTTCAATAACTGAGTGAGTACAAATTTAGCAAGGAGAAGGGACAAAAAGAGAAAGCATATCTGCTGGTAGAAGGGTGAGGCTGAAAGAGGAGGCTTGCGGGGAAGCCCAGAGTTCTCTTGCTGCAGTCAGCCCTGTGTCCATGGCTTCCTGTGGATCAAAAATACTCGGGAAAAAATGGCATCAGTGCTGCACACATATGAACTTCCCTCTCGTGGTCATTCCCTAAATGATGCAGTATAAAACTCTTTGTGTAGCGCTGTTAGGTGTTACAAGTCATCTAGAGATGATTGAAAGTACACAGGGGACGTGAACAGGGGCTGTGCAGTATTACACCATTGCATATATGGGACTGGAGCATCAGGGATGTCGCTGTCTCTGGAGGGTTCTGAAACGCATCCCCTATGAATACTGAGGGATGACTCTACAGATGGGCCACATAACCATCCCACACGTACCGACAGAAGATTCGTCTCCTCCCAATGGCCGGCCTCCATCCTGCTTCCCAAATCTCTAATCACCTCCCTAAGCCAAGGGACAGCACTGGGGGGTCCACACCAGGGTCTGGGACCCTCACTTCCTTTGTGAGAGAGGAGCGCGTGCTGACCTGGCATGATGGTCTTCTTGCATTCCTGGCACTTGGACGAGTACTCGTTGGAGTAGCAGTCTGTGCAGAGCAGCTGGTCCTCCTTGGCCGCGAAGGGCTTGTCCACCAGTGAGCTCTTGCACTGGAAGCAGTGGAAACAGGCCTCGTGCCAGTGGCGGTCCTTGTAGGACAAGTCCTGCAGAGTCACACAAACAGGACGGTCAGGGACAGGACAGGAGGGGCGTGGAGCTCCTGCTGTCTGACCCACAGCACAGGGCCGGGTGCGAACAGCAGGGACAGCCAGGAATGAGGTGGGCCGGGCCAGTATGCCTTCCTGAACACCACCACCTCACAGGGCACACTGGTAATGCCAGGCCACTTTGTCCTTGCTAGAGCATAGAGCGGCAGGTTAAATGTGTGTTCGTGTGTGTGTGTGTGTGTGTGTGTGTGTGTGTGTGTGAGAGAGAGAGAGAGAGAGAGAGAGAGAGATGCTTTTAAAAAATGGATGAAAATGGATTTTCCTTATCTATTTCCTGTAACAAAGATCATCAGAAAATGGATCATGGTGGTCACAGACAAGACAGGGAATAATCCCGGTGTTGGGACACCCAGAGATGGAACCCTCCAAGGGCAGGCCCCTGGGTTAGCTGGTGGGAGGATGTCAGGAGAGGCTTCCCTGTAGGTGCCCCCAGTTGTGTGTGAAAGGTCCTGGATGCAGCAAGCTGGGTGGGGCGGGATGGAGAGGGGATTCCCGGCAGAGAAAGAGCACGCATGTTGACAATGACAAGCCGTGAACGACACACTGGGCAGAGCAGTGTGTGGGGCTGGAGAGACCAGCCAGGGCGAGGTGACAGGTTCATCTACAGGGTCACTGGACACATGGCTTCCTCTCTTGTCAGTGGAGTGTCCATCTGTCCTGAAGGCTGTGGAGAGGGAAATGTTAAGACTGGCTGTGACAGGTGGCTAAGGGAGGGGGGAAGGAGGGGACAGGAGGATGCAGGGGCTGCCTCGGGCTGCATCTGCAGGAGACTCAAGCAGGGTAGAGATGGGAAAGGCACTGAGGAGACACAGCCAAGCACTGTAGTCAAGATGAGGAGAAAGGAGCCCAGGAGAGAAAACTGTGTTGACCCTGCACTGCCCTTGGCCTTGTCTGAGGAATCCTAAGATGTCCTTTGACATTTGCCCTTTTACAATGGCACACGGCAACAATTTTGACACTCAGCTGTACCTGTCCACTGCTGTCTTCATGGGTCTGTCCAGCCCTGCCCCACACCACCATCCATTTATTAACAAGGCAGAAGCCAAATTTCAGGCCACCGCCTGGTTCCCCGGCCAGTTTCCAGGTCTCAAGTATCTCGCCCAGCCCATAGGAGGGCTGCTCACACAGATGGCCATCAAGAATCATCTTCCCCAGACAGCTCTGTTACCCATGCAGTCAAGCCTGGAGTGACGCCAAGTGTGGGATGTGAAAACATCTCTTGGATTTGATTAGCAAGTCCTAAGCCACCAACTACACTCAGAACCCAAACTAGAACAAACAGTTCTCTTTTGCTAAAATACCAGTGTGTGCACTTGTGTGTGTGTGTGTGTTTTCCCAGAACTTCAGATCAAACTAAAGCTATTTGATTTGGTGATCTCTTTGCACATTTTTTTCTTAGTTCAAGGAATGTAAAAAAGTGTGTGGTTGATACACTTTGAAGACAGTCATGTCCAAGACCTCACGGTGAGGGGCGAGCTTTGTGTTGGTCCCTCCTGAGCTGGGAGGTCCCTGTTGGCGGCTTACTTCCTGGGTCAGCTACAGGTAGAATCACTGCTGATGCAGGAAGAGGAATGAAGGTGAGACAAGGTCACATTTTCTCAAAGCAGAACTGGAGGCTTTGTTCTCAGGAGAGAATCAATTTGGGGTCTTAGTGGGTTCTCTGAGATAGGTACTGCCTCTCGGAGGACCAGAGGTAGATCTTACTGAAATGCCTCAATCCTTTCCAGTCTGTGTGAACCTCACCTGCAGGACATGTGTACAGGGTGGGGTGGGGGCAGTGCAGCTTTTGCATTTTTAGCTTAAAATATTGTCAGAAAGTCTGCAGAAAAAAATCATGTGGGCTTTATTGGTTTTTCGATAAATAAAAAAAAATACAAACTGCTTTAATTTGTGTTGATGTGTTCATATGTGAAGTCATCATGAATAGCAAAGCTCACAATCTGTAAATACACATCATAATCACTCAGGATTAGGAACAGCCTCCGCTCTCTCCAGGCATGTGTCCCATCTTCAAAGAGGAATTTGAGGGGCTGGGGTGAAGCACGTTGATAGAAGAAAGAAAAAACTTCAAAACTTCAGAAATTTGAGATACTATTGATGGTAATTTGATCATGTTGCACATTTCAGGCACCAATAAGCCCTGCAAAGTGAGTATTATTGCTAAAGCTTAGAGAAGTTCATTATGTTTTCTAAAGTCACACAGCTAGTGTGTAGAATATATAGCTGAGCCAAGCTTAAAGCGCAAACCCTAATGCAAAAGATGTTTTTTCTTTTTTTTTAGCTAACCATACCAGCTGGAATCCTGTTCAGACTTATGCTGCTCTTGGCTTAAGCAAAATGTACTGTATACACCAGGCACAGTGGCACATGCTTATAATCCCAGCAGTTTGGGAGGTTGAGGTAGGAGGATCGAAAAAGCCAGCCTCAGCTACTTAGTGAGGCCCTAAGAAACTCAATGAGACCCTGTCTCTAAATAAAATATAAAAAGGGTTGGGAATTTGGCTTAGTGTTTAGCCACCCTGCATTCAATCCCTGGTACAAAAAAAAATGTACTGTGTGGATACAGTGGAAAAAATTCAGAGCCCACCAAACCTCATGTCATTTAAGACTGTCCAAATGAATCAATTCAGCATTGCTTCTGCTTGGATTTTGAATAAAGAAGTTGAACAAACCATTTAGAGTCCTGTCCACCGAGAACACTAATCGCCTAATTCGGGTTTTTTTTTTTTTTTAAATAATGCTGTCACTATTACAATGTTGATTGTGGAGTATATGCATTAAAAACTTCAATTTCATATGGAAAAGGGTATAATGGCTCCCTAAAAAATTACAAACAGAATTACCATGTGACCCAGCAATTTTGCTTTTGGTTTTATAATCAAAAGAAGTGAAAGTGGGGTCTCATAGAGATATTTATGTATCCAGATCAGGACAGCATAATTCACAATAGCCAAATGTAGACGCAACCAAACATCCATTGATGGATGAAGGGATGAGCTAAATGTAGGATATCCATGCAATGGAGTTTCATTCAGTTTTGGAAAGGAAGGAATCCTGTCCCCTGCTGCAACATGAACTTTGAGGACATTGTGGTAAGTGGCATAACACAAATACGTACGACCTCCCTTGCGGAGATAAGGAGTCGAGTGAATAGACCCAGACAGTAGAATGTTGGTCATCAGAGGCAAAGGGGGACTGAGGATTGGTGTGAAGTGGGTACAGAGTTCCAGTTCTGGAGATAGAAAGTCCTGGAGATGGGTGGTGATGGTGGTTCAGGGTAAGTACCACTCTCCTGAGCTGCACACTCAAACATGGCAAACTATGCTGTGTGTGTTTCGTCATCACTCAAAAGTCTGTTTCGATAATTCCATTCCACGTGTCCAGTGCCTGTATGGGCAAGAAGCCCTTAGCATCTCTCCCTGGTCGTTAACTCAATGGTTCTAGAACCACATTGCCTAAATTCAAATCTTCCATCATGCACCCGCCTGACTGGGAAAGTCATTGAACGCCTCTCAATCTCAATTTCTCACCTGTAAAACAGAAATCATGTAGCAACTATTGGCTGCAACAGTGGAATGAGTCAATACATGTAAAGCACTTATATAGCAATTGCTCAATGAATGTTAGATTAAGCCATCATTCAGATCATAGCTAACAATGAAAACAGTCGCCTCAAAATGTCACTTTCTGCAATTACATTTCCTTATAGAGTATTAAAAATTAGAATATCTGCCATCTTAACACCCCCATGCTCTTCACTCTACCACTCAACTTTTGTATCGTGCTTTTTGATTTTCCTTGGCTCCTTTGGATGTAAAATTACGTTTCTGAGTTTGCCTTACCTATTTGGAGCCATACAATAACCCTATGAAATAAGGCTTCATTCTTTTACATAAGAAAATTTAACATAATGATACAAAAAAAGCTATGTTTTCTGCAACATGCCCAGTCCCTTCTGCCTTTGTTGATCCAACAGAACTAAACTGTGTTCCTATTTTTCACCTGGCACATCAGCCCCTTTCCAAGTGGGTCTCACCTTGTTCCAGCCTCCTCTATCTCACTGCCATGCCCTCCCCTTCTCCTTGGGCTCAGCTGTCTAACTCAGCCCATATCTCACCTGACTGTGAAGCTTCCAGCCAGGTCGATATGGCCTCAGGGCAGCCATGAACTGCCCTGGCCCACAGAGCACCGGGAGAACCTGTACATCTCTTTCCAAATCACATTCAAGGCCACACACCTCACTCCTTGTGCTATCAACAGCTCCTGCCAGGCTCTTCCGGGGGGCTCTCAGTCTGTGCTCTTCAGCCTGGGCTCAGTTAATAAATTCATATCACAGCTTCTTCCTGGACTCTTAGGTGAGCAGGAAGCAGGAAGTGAGCAAAGACGTTAAGGCAACAGGAAGGTCACTGAATACTGCCAGTTTTGATTTCTCAAAGCACGAGGAGGCTTTCGGCCAGTGTGGTATTCTCTGAGTCTCAGTGGGACTCAGGGCTGCAGCCCCCGGACTCCCTGGACCTTAGAGACCAATTGGAAAATGCCACCCAGTGGCGGAGAAGCTAGATTATAATGGGTCAGGCTCCTGCCTGAGCTGGTATCATCACCATGGTCCAGATCATCACCTGTAAGGACCTGGGGCCAGGTGACCCTCTTCATCTCTCCCACTCACAGTTCTAAATAGATTTTTAGTGTAGTTGTTAGCACCATGCTAGTCTGGTCTAGTTATTTTGTCTAATTAATTCTGCTTTTTTTTTTTTAATTTTTTCCACAGTACAATCAGCCCTTGGTATCTCTGGATTCTCAATCCTTGGATTCAACCAACCACAAATTGAAAAGTTTTTTTTTTTTTTTTTTAAATAATTGCACCCGATCTTTTTCTTGGCATTATTCCCTAAACAACAGAGTACAAAACTCTTTGCATAGCATTTACATTGTACAAA